GAAGGGGAACGTATAGCCCTCGATACGCTGACACATAGAGATGACCTAATCATAACACAGACTGACAAAGGGGGTGCGACAGTGATCTGTGGAATCGAAGAATACATTAAAGAGGCCAACAAACAGCTTGCCGACAAAGAAACCTATAAAAGCATACCTAGAGATCCCCTTCCCGAATACCAAAAAGAATTAACTAGCTCACTAAACATAATGCTTCGCAACAATCTAATCGACAAGGAAACATGCACAACACTTACACCCACAAATATTACACCTGCTCGTTTCTATCTGCTTCCTAAAATACACAAAAGCAACAACCCAGGAAGGCCGGTTATTTCATCGTTCAACTGCCACACGACAAAAATTTCCAAATACATAGACCATTACATAGAACCGCTAGCTAAGGAAGTAAAATCCTACATCAGAGACACAACAGATCTACTGAACAAAATGAATCACATACAAACAGTTCCAGAGAATGCTATTCTAGTGACTATGGACGTTAGGTCACTCTATTCAAACATTAAACACATCGAAGGATTAACAGCCCTTCAGGAAGCACTTACTAAAAGAAGAAAACAAGCCCCCCCCAGAAGTTATCATAAAACTCATGGAGCATGTCCTTACATTGAATACTTTCACCTTCAATGGAGCACACTACCTTCAAATAAGAGGTTGTGCCATGGGCACCATTGCAGCTCTATCATATGCTACAATATTCATGGGAAAATTTGAGGAGACCCATATCTATCCAATCATTGGTAGCGACTGCGTATTCTATGCAAGATATATCGATGATATATTCTTTGTATACACGGGTAGGGATGACAAACTTACCCAATTCCTTATGACCCTAAACACAGTGCACGACTCAATTAAGTTTGACTATGAAAAATCCACAACATCAGTAACATTTTTAGACACCCGCATTTACATAGATGAAAAACAGGAAACTACAAACGACACTACACACTAAAAATCACCGACACCCACAACTATCTACACTTTAAGTCTTCACACCCTAAACACCTCAAAGAGAACCTTCCCTATTCACAAGCACTTAGACTCAGAAGGATATGTTCCAACAATGAAAAATTAAATAAACACATTGAAAATCTGGAGCATCAATTCACAACACGTGGCTATAAACAACACCTAATCAGGGAACAAATAAATAAAGCAATTTCCACACCTAGAGAAGACACCCTAATGTACAAGATTAAAAATAAATTTAGCAGCATCCCTCTAGTAACCACTTTCAATCCCACTCTGCCTCCACTATCCCAAATAATCAAACGTCGCTGGGAAATACTACATCTCAAAACAGACCTAAAATATTGTTTAAGGAACCCGGCCTTCTTGCATATCGTAGACCTAAGAACCTAAAAGAAATCATAGGTAGTAACAACATTTCAGGGGACAAGGTAATCCTTAATAAACTAAGAACAAAAACAACAGGATTTTCCCAACCATGTAACAACAAAAGAAGTTTATGTTGCAACCATTTTAAACACACAAATTCATTCACTAGCTCAATCACTAAATCTACTTTCAAAATCTACCACGATTCTAAATGCAGAAGTCATAACATAATTTACCTCCTAGAATGCACACTATGCCAGAAACAATATGTAGGAAAATCTGAATGGCCCTTTCACTACAGAATTAATAATTATCGCAATCGAATTAAGTCGACTCCCCATGAAAAATTATTACCTGTAGAACAACATTTCCGCCTGGAAAAACACGATTTCAAAACCCATGCCAAATTCACTATAATTGAGAGAATAGAAAAGTTCAGAGCAGATAACATTAGAAAGATTTTAGAGTCCCATGAAAATAAGTGGATACAACGTCTAAAAACACAATATCCAGCCGGGCTAAACCATAAATGTAACAATATAGATAGTACTAATATATAACTTTACAAATCAAAACCTACCCACATTTCTCACCCACACAAGACAGACAGGCTTACGGAGGTGTGGAGGCCTCTCACTTATACACACACACCCACACGAATATACACACTTACACGCATCATACTCACTCACTCACTCCCTAATGAGCCAAAGATAACACACACCCACAGCAATACACACGCTTACACATATCATACTCACTCACTCCCTAAGAACCAAATAACAAACACACAAACACTAAACAGAGACACTTCCCCAATAAAACTGTCAAACTGGCCAAGAGATTTCAGGGAAGCATAGATCCATCCAGCTCTTATCTGAATAACAACTTAAAAGAGACTGTTTGACCAACACAAGGAATATTAAAAGATTTTAAAAGAGAAAAAAATAAAAAAAAACAAATGAAAAACTACAGACAAAAGTTCATTTCTCCATCAAGACATTCATTTCTGTAGTTTACTGCTACCAGCAAGCAGAAATATTTCTTTCTGGGTTGATGATGGCCATTTTGGCCTAAAACTAGTCAAGGAATCTAAATGAAATAATAATAAAAAAACGAAAGAATATTAATCTACAACTAAAAGTGTGTCTGAAGATTTTAATTTTTAATATTTTTTTATTGTTCAGTATATATATATATATATATATATATATATATATATATATATATATATATATATATATATATATGTGTGTGTGTGTTTCAAAGACGGAGATGTGTGTATGTTTATTATGCATGAAACAGTTCCTGTCGCCTCTGAGTGTTGATTTCAATGTTCACTATATTTGCATTCGATATATCACTGATATTGAGCACTTTATCCCATAAAAGTAGCACACCTTAAATCAATATTTCTTCATATATATATATATATATATATATATATATACAGAGAGAGAGAGAGAGAGAGAGAGAGAGAGAGAGAGAAAATAAGAGATAGCTATGAACAGGCTTATGTGTCAATATACATACAATGTGACAATAAATCATAATTTACGTAGATATAAACAGACCGTATTCAGACAGAAAGAGGTTATATATATTTAATTGTATATTAATTGTGTATTTAGTTGTATATATTTAATTTAAATAAAAACAGACCACTTTAAGGTTCCATGTAACAAATTATTTCACCACAGCCCTTTTAAAGGACTGCGTATCATCAAACTTTACTTCCAAAGGTTAAAACAAAAAATGAAAATAAATTTACCCTGTTAATTATTTGCTCTGGATTTACATTGACATATATATATATATATATATATATCTGTGATTTTTTTATATAGCAGCTCTTGGGGCACTGTTCCGAGGTTATCTGAATACTTGGATGAGTATCGCTGCGGAAGTGAGTAAGTAGCGGCGCTATATCGAGTCTAGTTTGTGTCTTCTTCGTCGCGTCCCGTGGTACAGTTAGTATGACGTTTGCGTTGTATCGAAAGTGGATGCATCCCAGATAGGACGAAACGGCCGTCCAGTGCTTCCTGCATTCTATTGAGGATAATTTTCGGCTCGACGAATTAATATATATATATATATATATATATATATGGTTAAAATGAGGAGTAGTTAAAATGAAAGAAACTACATTTAAGGATTTTTGTTTGTTTTTTCAAAATTTCTTCATTCTGTCGGATTTATATCCATTTACACTTGCTTATATATATATATATATATATATATATATATATATATTACATTATGAAATGGAAAAGTCCGACAATTATTTTTATGTTAAACATTCTTTTTATAGATACAAGTATTTAAGTAAATGCTCTGTTTATAATAAACAGTATTAAACAACATTTACCGGCCTGAATGTCCGAGAAATTTTCATAGAAAATATTCGTCCTACCACCAGGAATCGAACCTGTATCCTATACGGAACCGTCATTTAGCGTGACGTGCATTTACCGATTTAGCCACAGAGGAGCGTTTTCGTTAGCAAGGTCGATTTTACTGTCTTTAAACTAAAATCTTCCATGATTCTCTCACGTACATTCATATCTGCTCGACGTGTGTCCATATGTAAACAAATGACGTCACACATTATGAAATGAACAAAGTCCGAGAATTAAGGTTAAAGGTACGTCAAGCTAAATGACGGTTCCGTATAGGATACAAGTTCGAATCCTGTCGGAGGAGGAATATTTTCTATGAAAATTTCTCGGACATTTAAATGTAAATATTGTTTTATACTATTTATTATAAACAGAGCATTTACTTAAATATTTGTATCTATAAAAAGAATGAATAAACATAAAAATATCTTAATATATATATATATATATATATATATATATATATATATATATATATATATATCCGATTTCAAAGCGATCAACTTCGGTGATCATAAGGGAATTTGTATTTCAGCCTGATATATATATATATATATATATATATATATATATATATATATACACGCTTAAATTCGTTTGGTCGAAGTAGCAGGAATGAAAGCCCGTTAGAACACTTGCCGTGAAAAATATCTATAGAAAAGACAGAGGGACGTCACGTCAAGGCTTTGGGAAGAAATAGTTGGGGGTCGATATAATAAGGAAAGTAGGTTTGGAGAAATCAACACTGAGAGGAAACACTGAAGGCAAATAAATAAATAAATAAATCAAAACAAAATGGCGACGGGAATTTTCCAACAAATGGATGCAGAAAGAACTGCCTGAACGAAAAAGAAGCGTATTTGCTGAGGCCAGAGAGCGGAAGCTGTAGAGACTGGTCACCTGTTGTAAGAACATCGCCCGCACACACACATGCGCACACACAAGCGCGCGCGTGTTAGATATGGAGAGTAATAATATCAAAATAAATAGTGAATGGCGACTGTTTCAAGCTCAAATCTATCTGCCGACCGATGTTACCTTTGAGATATAGAAAACTCTTGCCCCTTAAATATAACAAATTTTGGAAAATACATATTAAAAACAAAGTTTTATTGTATCACAAGGTATGTCTATGTTTTTATTGTCTTTTTTTTTCTGTTTCCGAATAAATACTTGCAAATTCAGATTAAATTTTCGGATGAATTTAATAAGACTTGCTTAATTGAATTCTTGTTGTAG